TCCCTGGAGGGGGGCTCACCCTTTCATACTTTGAAAACCCCTGGTCTAACCTAATTTGTGACCTGTTGGACGTGTGACACCTTGAACACATATTTTTAATTTAGAAGGTCATGAAAACAATGAAATCCAACTGAGCGTACTTTCAGCTAAAATTAACAACAGTGGTAGCGTATATAGATAACCGCCCAATGAGGGGCTCGAACCCACGACCCTGAGATTATCTACCGACTGAGCTAGCCGGGCGAGGCCAGGAAATTGACTGTCCAAGTTGGAGTTAAAACACACAGTCATGTACTGGACTTCTTATGATTTTTTCTGATAGATACTTATGGTAAGCTGCCTATCATTTTAGCAACCCCAGGTAGAGAAAACGAGAAACAACACATGACAGCAAAAAATCAGGCAGACACAGCAGCGTTGCAGTGACGCACATGGCATAGTTTTGTTTCCTCTGCCACACCAGAGGAAACAAAACTTTAGACCATGTTTACACAAACGTGGCTGGAGCCTAGGTTGTGACACCCCTCCCCCACATGGGACAGTCAGATCACCTTTCTTTGTTCCTCACCCCCAAATATGCACCCCTCATCAATTGTGTGAAGCCATCAGTGAAGACCATCAAGGTGTGGCCTGCGGGAGCAGATTCAACACTTCACGAAATGTTTCTACCCACAGACTTGACTATGTTTGCTTCTAAAGCCACCAGTGGCTTTCACATGGACATTGACTGTTACGCCTCCTCTGTACTGGATTATATTAATACCACTATTGACAATGTTACAACCCAGAAGCAGCTCGTGCCTTCAGATCAGGATATGCACAAGCCTATAGCACAGCCAGAGCAAATCTGAAAAGGGGCATCAGAGAGGCCAAGTACTGCTACAAGCTTAAAATAGAGGGACACTTTTCCAATTCTGACCTGGCATGTGGCAGGGAATTAAGTACAAACAGACTCATCCCACCTCTGCAGCCACTGATGTCAGTTTCCTGAACGAGCTGAATAATTTTTATGCTTGCTTTGAAAGAGACAACAGTGAAACTGCCACCAAGCGGAAATCCTCAGCCGACCACCAGCCAATCACACTCTCATCCACAGATGTCTACAATGCACTGAGCAGGATCAGCACACTCAAGGCAGCTGGACCAGATAACATCCCTGGACGTGTACTCAGGGCATGTGCGAAGCAGCTCGCTGGGGTTTTTACAGACATTTTCAACCTTTCTCTTGTCCAAGCAGCTGTACCAACATGCTTCAAATGTACTTCCATTGTGCCAGTGCCAAAACACTCCAGCCCAAGGTGCCTTAACGCCCTGTAGCACTCACACCAATCATAATGAAGTGCTTTGAGCGGCTGGTCCAGGCACAACTGAAAGACTTGGTACCATCCACATTGGATTCACACCAGTTTGCATACCACAGCAATAGGAGCACAGGGGTAAAAGTTTCCATGGCACTGCACTCTGTGCTCACACATCTGGACAATAAGAACACTTTTGCATGCATGCTGTTTGTTGACTTTAGCTCAGCATTCAACACTGTCATTCCGGCTAAGTTATTAGCCAAACTTCAAGACCTGGGCATCAACACCTCCATGTGCAACTGGATTCTGGACTTTCTGACCAACAGACCACAGAATGTCCGATCAGGCTCCAATTGCTCCACGTCCATCACACTCAACACTGGTGTACCACAGGGCTGTGTGCTAAGCCAGTTTCTCTACTCCCTCACTCCCTCGCTTACTTTTTGTTGCAGGTTGGGCTGGCGCCTTGGCAGCTACGCATGTATGCTAAATGCTAAAACGAACTGAAACAATTTATCAGGATAAGACAAAATACAAATAATATGCCACACATAATTCAGAACAACTTTGACCTAGATTTTCATACACAACATAGCCATTGCTAGGGGAACCACTGATTGGGATGCAAACTCCCAATGTCTTTATTTGGTCGGCAGAGACACAGGACTTGGAATAGGAGCAAATGCAGTTCTTCGGTTGAATGAGTTCATTCCCAGGGGAACTCACCTGTACTTTGACAGGTATGATGAAAATGTCAACTGTGGTGCTGTTGATGATGATTCTCTGTAAACAAATGACACTTGTCTGTCTAGGTACTTCACCTCAATAAAACTACTTGATAAATTGCTAGAAATGGGTCTGCCTGCAAGTTGAACACTGATGAAAAATAGACTCCCAAAGAATTGTAACATTACATCTGATAAAGAGTTGTTGAAAGAAGGAAGAGGCTCCTCCGTAATGGTGACAAGGAAGCATCCTGAGCTGGCTGTGACAAAATGGGTTGACAATAAACCTGTACTCATGGCATCTACAGTGCATGTAATAGAGCCCCAGGATACCCGGACCAGATGGTCACTGAAAGACAAAAGGCATGTTCAAGTGTCCAGACCTGCAGTAGTGGCAGAGTACAACACCAACATGGGTGGGGTTGATATGTGTAATAGAATGCTTAGCTTTAGACATTCTTTTAAAGCTGCTTTTGTTGGGCTGCCACTGTTGGCGGGTTTTTGGCACCCTCTGTGGCGGCTCACTGGGGATTCTGGATGCTCCTTTAGCCTGTTCACTTTCTGGAAGACAAACAGGTTCATATAAGGTGGCTGCTCGGGCCCGGCCCCCCGGACGCATCAGCTGAGTTACGGCCCTGGCAGCTCTCCTTGTGGCCTCATACTTGTGTGCGCGCTTGTAGGCTAGTGCCAGTGTGCGGGGATGCTCCTTCAGGAGTTTCTGGACCACTTCGGCATCCGCTAAGGCATTGGTGAAAATCTCCAAACTGATGCAGTCTTGTTCTAGCTCAGTCCGGTTGGCATACACAATGGAGACTTTCTCATAGATGTCATGTCGGAGCTCGTGTAGAGCCTCACCTGGTTTCCTAACCCTCTGTCTCAGCTCGATGCCTATAATTGATGCATGCTCAGAGCACGGCCCGTAGGCGGCCTCTATCTCTATCATTATCACTACTGATAAGGCTTTTTCATACTTATGTAAACAAAATGACAAAGTCTTCTAAAGTCTAAGGTCTTTACTGGCTCTCTGTGTTAAAAAGATTCCAGACCCCTGTTCTAGAACCGTAGTTGCCTCAACCTTTCCATACAACTTCTCTGATGTTTCCAAAAACATGAAACGCCCAACGTGGGGCTCGAACCCACGACCCTGAGATTAAGAGTCTCATGCTCTACCGACTGAGCTAGCCGGGCTGCGCATCAACTGGTTCTAATTCCGTGTATGAATCCCCACGGACCAGGGCAACATGACACTGGGCAATTTTGGCCAAACTAATCTTTTACATCCTTTTATGATATGGGGATAAAAACGGGGGTGGGGGGCTATAGATGTAACAAAGAGGCCACTGAGGCCAGAGTGCTACTATGCTCTACCATGGAATTGCAGTTACTTCGTTTGCCATAAACAGATTTTGGTCAGGTTTGTTACCAATCAGTTAAAACTTTATAGCTCATTAAACACGCCGACTTTACAGATGCTCCCGACCCGGCAGTTGTAGTTGTCTCAGCAAACACAATGCTCTACACCATGTGCTCCACCACCCGGTTGGAAAAATGCTAAGCGCCCAACGTGGGGCTCGAACCCACGACCCTGAGATTAAGAGTCTCATGCTCTACCGACTGAGCTAGCCGGGCGATGACAGACCCACAATCCAGGATGGAATTACATCACACAACACATACCGCACTTCCTATGATTTCTTCTGACTGGTACTTATGGTGAGCTGCTGATAATTTCTAGTAACCCCAGGTAGAGAAAACGAGACATAACACATGAGAGCTAAAAATCAGGCAGACACAGCAGTTTAATTTCTCTCTTCCTGGGAAGACTGAATGTGTGGATGGGTTGGGGGTTGGTGAGAGTGGCTGGGGGTTGGGGAGGTGTGAAGAGGTGAGGTCAGGGAGAGGGTAAGTATGAGAGGAGTCAAACCAGGGCTCACGGGCTCTGGTTTGGCTTTTGGGCCGCTGAGTGTACTGGTTGAGGTGTTGGCAGTGCTATCCAATCCTTGAACAAAATAATCCCTATTGCCTGATGGGACACTGATATTTCTTTGTTTTCCCGTTGGTGTTCAAACATCCTTGGACCCGCTGTCAGAATCTGAGCCATATATTAACAGTCATCTGTCAATCTAATTTTTTCAGTCAAAGCATCTTGATTCATATGTCGCAGCTAATATGGGCAATGGTTAAAATAAGAAATAAGATCCTAGAGTAAACTATTGGCGGGGCCACCCTCTCTGGGGGGACTCTCGGGAAACGGGGTTACCTATGGGAGTTAGCAGTGGAGCTGGCTCCCTGGGAGTGCAGTAAGCCCCCCAGTCCATTTCTCCCCATTCTTAGACTCCTCCCTCTGCCTGCTCCATCACACTGCCACACATGTAGGATCTTGGGGAGAGGGGTCATTACTGGAGGGTCCCACCTTCTGTTCCCTCTCTGGGAAGCTCTTCAGTCTTTTTTCAGAGAGATCTTATGTTTGCCATAGCGACAGATGGTAAAT